GGCCCTATGTTTGTTGTTTATGGATAATGTGGCTTACTTCCTGTGAAGTTACTTTCAGGATCATACTTAATAAGTTCACACTCAGCTGTGCAGATATTGGTAGTAATTGCTTTTACAGATTATATTTAAAGCCTGGCAGAGTTGAGAATGTATGTAATGACCTGACTATCCATAGACATGAATATGTATAGAATCGTGGTTGACTTTATGCATTTTTTAATGACTGCTTCTTAAACTTTTTTGCGTGCTTTATTGGAGTGTGTTTAATGAAAACCATAAGTTAGAAGTTAGTGACAAAAGTAATGGGACTTAGGAAGTTGGTTAGCAACAGTGAAAACTCATTAAAGAATGTTAAAGAAATATTCACACATTATAAAGCAAAGTTTAGGTTTAATAAGACATTATGATTAGGTGCTTACTTACTATGCATATGTTTTGCCAGTATAGCGTATATCACACGAGTGCATATATTTAGTTTATGATGTTATGGTGTTATTTGCATAATGAACTTCGCATAGAGTATGAAATAACAGACTAATGAAACTTTCTCCAATGTTCCCTATGTTGTTTAGTTCAACTTAACACAACCAGAAATCTATTGTGAGGGTCCAAAATGAACAAATGCAAATCGCCAAATGGAAATACAAATTGGCTTTTTTGAATGTATTTGTTTCAATATCTTATGGAGTTTTGCTTTTCAAAAAAAAATTGAGTTTTCGTGATATTTTTACTGGAAAACTTAGTAAATATGCATTTTCATTGGTGCTAATTTTTATTGATGTCCAGGTGTGGTAAAATAAATTTTGAGTCATGCAAATAGCTAAACATCATAGTCAGAATGAAACTGTCCACTCTCTCCCGTTCTCTCGCTTTCTCTCTCCGTCCCTGAGAGGTTGAGATCTGCTTAAGTGCTCAAATGCGTCTGGATGGAAAGTGACACACGGCCCTAGCAGTCTGTTGCTGTAACACATGCGTTATGGGAGATAGTGTTGTACTACAGCAGCGGGAACAAAAGAGCCTCTTTTCAACTGATAGAAACCGTCAGAAGACAGAGAGAGAGAGAGAGAGAGAGAGAAAGAAAGGGAGAGAGGGCTTGCTGACACCAGAATTCTTCAAGCTGACACAGGTGATGGATTAGATGTGTTATCCAGGCGGACTGGGGCTCAGAAAAATCTCTCCAAGAGCAGAGAGAGAGAGAGAGAGAGAGAGAGAGAGAGAGAGAGAGAGAGAGAGAGAAATACTGCTGCATCCAACGGACCTGAAATATCGCTCCACATCCCACCCTATACGAGAAGAGAAATCTCTATCTATCTATCTATCTATCTATCTATCTATCTATCTATCTATCTATCTATCTATCTATCTATCTATCTATCTATCTATCTATCTATCTATCTATCTATCTATCTATCTATCTGTCTGTCTGTCTGTCTGTCTGTCTGTCTGTCGCTCTGTCTGTCTGTCGTTCTGTCTGTCGTTCTGTGTATCTTTCTGTCTATTTATCTATCCGTCTGTCCGTCGTTCTGTGTATCGGTCTGTCTATCCATCTTGATCGATCTATCATTCTGTCTGTCTGTCTGTCTATCTATCTGTAGTTCTGTGTATCGTTCTGTCTATCCGTATCCATCCATCCATCTTCATTAACTATGGTAAAGGAATGATTAATGAATTAATGATGTATAGAAATTGATGGGCAGTTGACAGCAAGGAAGCTCACTAAGTTATAGAACAGAGCTATTGTGTTTGAATCCTTCTGTCTGTTACTAGTGAGTCGAATCTGGGAGAAGTTGAGGGTCAGGTTGGCCTTATTTTGACAGTTAACCCTTTCAGTTAGCGTTACCCCCTTCCTTACTGGATAAGCACTGACATTTGACCTGTGAGAGCAGACAATTTTGAGGAATCCCCTTTAGTGTAATTGGATTCAGTGTGTTCAGGTGGCAGAGTCTCTCTCTCTCTCACTCTCTCTCTCTCTCTTTCTGTGTGTCTCGACATACTGCGTGAGCCTACACATTTAAAATGGATTACGGAAGATCTGAGATAGGCCACGGGACAGATTGCTCTGTCAGTCTGAGTTCGGTCTCTGACTCCCTTGCGCTCCCATGCACACACATGTTTAAACAAGGACATCCATTGTGCACAGGTCCCACAGCGTTTGGAAACAATATTCTTGAGGTCCGTGCTTTACTTTGCTTTTCATTGCAAAAAAATCATTGGGGGGGGGGGGGGGGGGGGGGAGAATACATATGGGAAACACATACAGGTTTCTTTATGATCATTTTTCTGCTTTGATCATTCATGCTTAAATGTGGTTTAGAGGTTATGGCTAAAATAGATGAGAGTAAATATTGTTGCTGAATTTCTTTGAGCAGGTTTATGTTTCAGTGCTTTGTGTTGGAATTAAATTACCCTCTTACAGTTCTTCTCTTTCGTCTACTCTGTCATGTAATCGCTTTAAAGAAAGATTGAGTTGTGCTTTATTAAAGACTTTTAGATGTAAACAGAGTCGAGTATCCCTCTAGTGGTGGGAGTGTTCTGTGGATGTGGATCTTTTGATTTGTATTCAGTACGTTTCTAGTTCGAGAAGAGTTAGCTAACGTGAATAATCTGAAATGGGATGCATTCAGAACGAGGTACCCTAAAGGTTGTTTCAGATGTGGGTGCACGTATCTATGTATAAAGCGCACATGTACAGTGTGGGAAAGAGTGTTTTGCAGTATGTTATCATGTTAAACAGCAAGAGAATTTGTTTCTGGTTTCTCTTCAAGCACTTTTGTTGTTGCACGCTTACATTCTCACATCAAAAGCATCCTCTTGGCATGAACGTGCAGCTGGAAGGGACCGACGACGGTCTCAGAAGTCCCTCATACAAATACAAACACACATGCAAATACACATAAAGAGCTACTTGTACATAGAACGCCTATAAATGAACATGCAAAATGAATATTTGAAACAGAAAGAGACAGTGTAGCATGCATATATAAGGGAAATGATTGTCAGTGCTGATTGACATGGAAATCTAATACACAAGCACATATAAAATGCACATCCTTATTTAAAATAGGTGTGCACACGCACTCAACACAGAACACACAGAATGATATGTGATTGTCGGGAGTAGTTCTGCGTGGGCTCTGAGAAAGACAGCTGCACTTACACTGGAGCCAAAGGGACGGCAGCCATCTATAATGTGCATATGGGAACGAGGGAGAGAGAGAAAAGAATGTGCCAATAATGAAAAAGTAATGAGCAAATGTTTCAGAAGGTTGTAAGGAGAAGACAAACATTAGGCAGAGAGAACAATGATGACAGAACGAGACTCAAGCCAGGTGACTGACAGATCAGTGGTCGGGGAAAAAGTGAAAATATTCAATCCATTTCCAAATGCATTCTGGGTCAGTGTAGCTGAAGTAATTGTACATGTAGCCTGCCACTTTAGAGCTGGGATCATCTTCGTCTGTACTTCCAATTATATACATTTTATAGATCATTTTAATGGCTTTTCAATGCAAGCACCATAACAAAGTGTGTGAAGTATACATTATATAACAGGGGTTAGTTTTTCTATCCGCCAAAATATACTAGTCCTTTAAAACTGTGCATGCCTCCCATCACTTTTACAGTTACATCCACAGAACCTACTGCGGTGTCCATGTCTGATTGCTTTATAGTCCCCCGTAGGACCAGTGAACACAACATTTACTTCTACAACCAGAATGCCAGACCCACTTCCTGACTGCAAATGAAGTATGTTCTTCAAAGTGCCCTCCGCGGACTACTGGACACACAGTTCTCCATGACATAAGGTCCCCTCGGTGCGCACCAGGTCGTATCAGGGTCATGCTCGGCCGAGCAAAAGGAGGCGGGTCTTGTTGACTGGCTGACATGTTTTATGTATGAACACATTTACCGTTGTGTGCTGTAAATGTCAGTTTAGTGGATTGGGAGTCTGCCGCTCACAGATGGTTTTTACATTCACTGGAGTGGAGTAATGCTTGAACAGGGCTTTTTTTTTCTTCTTCCCTCTACTCTTGGCCAGAATTGTGTTGAGAAAGACTGCAGAGAATGACAACTGTTTTGGTTATAGATTTGGCAGTAATCATAACCGTAGCCTTTGATTGGTTTCGTTGAATGATCTTCATTCTCCTGGTCTTTGTTAGGGTCGTCCTCAGCCTCCTCGTCTGCTCTATTGTAAAGCAGTAGTAGACAGACACATGACCTTGGACTAACCCCGATCAAACTCCATGCAGGACAGCCGCGGTGTGTGTCCCGGGCTTTCAATTGTCTTTTGGGACGGGTGAATGCGGTGGGAGGAGACCTGTGACGTCAATTATTATTTTATCGTTTTTTGATGACCTTTGACCTGACCAGAACCGCTTTAATCTATATAAAATAGATTGTAGAAAAGATTAAATATTGTATAAATATTTGTATTTTATTTGACACCAAAAAAGGTACTAATATATTTTGTATAGCTAAAATATTGTATACTTGTAATCTTATATAAAATATTTTAATTATTTTTAATATTATTGTATGTAATATAATGTGTTTATAAAAAAAAAATATATATATATTATTATTCATTATTACTTATACAAAATATTATACATTTACCTAACTATGTGTGTGTGTGAATATATATATATATATATATATATATATATATATATATATATATATATATATATATATATTAGTGTGTGTTAGTGTGTGTTACTTTTCATATTATATATATAATCTATAATTATATAGAATTATTAAATTGTTCTTGTCCTATTTAGAATAATTATAAGCAATACAATTATATATATAGAGAGAGAACAATTTAATAATAATAATATTGAATAGTAACACACTAATTGCAATTTTGCCTTGAAATGTTGAAAAAATGTTTTTTGGGGGGAAAATCTTGTAAGCCAAATTCTCACATGGTGAAAATGTAAGACAAGTGGTTAATTTCTGCTAATGATCGCATGTTTTCTTCTTTTTTGTCTTAGATTCGGGTTGACGGTCCTCCTCAAGGTGGCGTCCAGTATGAAACTCTGCCGGTGATCAAAGATGGAAGCCCTGTTCTCAGAGACATGGCCTTTTCCCTGGACAACAGCTTCATCTACGTCATGTCGGAGAGACAGGTCTGAATATATGCATGTATATGCTCTCCCCTCTCTGCTTCTTTCTTCCATCCATAACAGCTGTAGGACGGAGAGAACGTGACAGCATCCACTAATGAAAGAGAGAAATGGGAAGAGGGTAGAGTAGCTGTGTCAGTGAAGGAGAGAGTGATGGAGGGACAGCTGAAGAAGGAAAGATGGAGAGAGAACAAGGTCACCCTCTCTTGACAGCATAATGAAGAGAGAGAGAGAGAGAGATGGAGAGAGACCCTGCTCACATAATATCAATACACACAACACTTCCCATGGGATGCATTGCAGAGTAGAGGTGGGCGGTATGAGTCATTTTATATCACGGTAACTCTATACATCAAGATATTATGGAAAACACTTGGCCTCTGAGTCAAAAAAGGGTAATTGTGAAGTTATTTCTCAATTGCTACTTTATATCTCACAGTATCTATGTTTCCACCCAAAGTTGCGAATTTCACTTATTTGCAAAATTGGAGTACCGCATAAAACATTTGTGGATAAAGCAGCGTTTTCATCGTGTTCAAGAGATAAATAAAATTGGCACAAAACACCTGTAATAAAAATGGAAGTTGCTGCAATCGGGGAAGTTACAGTTGCTCTTCTTTCCTGCATCATAAATGACGAAACACAATAAACCCTGTCATGCTATCTTGTGTTCGGGTTGCTGGTGTTTGGGAACGCAATCATGTGAGATGGTTTTAAATCATTCTGATGACAGACTTTGGCTCAGGCATTTCAGAATGATCAAACAAACACTTGAGATGCTGTGCATTGAAATTGGTCCACTGGTTAGTTATCCAATCACATCCACCGGTGAGCCAAAGTCACATGAGTTTTGTGTTGTGCAGTTGAGGGAATTTATGCCCTAAATGTGTTTCCACCGTTTGTGCTTAGTTATGTCTTCTTATTGGATAAAAAATATATCTGCCTCACTTGAGCACATTTTTATGCACAATTTTAGATTTGATGTGTATCTTGGTATTTTTCATTTCGATATCCAAAAATGGATATAAAAACAGGTGGATGGAAACATACCTTAGTGTGACTATTCTCACAATATGACATAATTTCTGGTTTTTTGCACCTTTTTTCTCACATTTGCAGCTTTTATCTCACAATGCGACTTTATTTAAGACGATTTGACATTTTATCTCTCCTCAATGTGACAGTTTTTTCTTATTTTAAACTTATCTCACAATTACCTTCTTTCGTTTTTACTCTGAGGCAAAAACAGTCTTCCATAGGCTATAGTTGTTGTTTTTTACTGAAATTTAAATGTTTTTTTTGTAGTAATGTTGATTCACATTATATATCAAAAGAGTTAAAAAGTCTCAAGATGGTGAAACATTATAAATGCTATTGGATGATTTGTGCAGTGGTTGGGGGTGTTGTAAAATAACCAAAAATTATGAAGTAAATCAGTTTGACTAGTTTAATGCAGCAGAGTTAATTTTGATTCGCTTTATTAATAATATTTTCTGCGTGATGCCAGATTTTTAAATGGATACACTGCAGCATAGCAGAATCTCTACACATTTTTTGCCTTGACAAATATATACCATCATACCGCCCAACCCTATTTCAGACTATAAAATAAAGAGATGAAAGGAAGAAAAAGAGAGAGACAGTCTCTAAAGAGAAGGAAAGGAAACAATACTGTCTCTGCTCACTGTGCTAAGAGATGGATGACCAGGCCGGTTGCTTACGTCTCCAGGCTTTTTTTAGCATCCGTTGTAGAGGGTTGATATCTCCTCTTGGGATACACGTGGGCAGTGGAACGGGGTAATGAGAGACGTGGTTTAATGCACAGTGGGCGGACAGGTTCACATCATATCTGTACACGGGCGGCCCGCTGGGTCAGCCCCACTGGGCATCACGCATAGCAGCAGATGAGAGGGAAAAGGGAGGAGAAAGAGAAGGAGACTTGAGTCAGCACACACCCTGTCTACACACACACACCCTGTCACACTTATCAGCCACGTTGAAGTGACCCCAGCATTTTATCAACTTTGTGGCTTGAGTTCCAGGCCCTTGCATCATCTGCTTTTTCTCTTTCTTTCTTGTTAATACACACACATGCTATATTTTTAAAGATAAGGTTTCAGTAAATCTAAAAATATTTAGAGTTAAATACAAGTTAAAACTCTATTGACAACATCTACGGTATTCTGTCAATTACCAAATATATACGGACTTCCATTGAAATTTTGGTTTGTTTTATAAACTGAGGGATGAGTCTATTTTAAATTGTACTTTATATTGCTCTTAACTAGTTATATGGTTCAGGGGTTTTCAAGTATTTTACCAAAATATTTATTTTCAGTTTATTAATTTTTTTATATGACTCTTATATTTGTCTCACATAGTATAAATGAGCCTTTATACATGAAAAAATTATAGCTGCCTTTTTTATTTATATTTTTGGAAGTGGGATCATCATATTTGGGGAATCATATTCATATTCATATTTGAAATCCCCAGTTCTCTTATGGCAAACAAATGTTGCTGTTTGGGATAAGGCCGTGTATATAAATTCCTGTGTATCTCTTCACTAGTGCTGAATAGTCTTTAGGGAATCGTGTTCGCTGCAACCTCAAAAGATTCGTCCCTCTCATGCAGTAATTCAAACCGATCCCGTCGTAAAAGAGCTATCAGCACGTTCCATCATTTCTTCACCCACTTTTGTCCTGTTTTAAGTGTTTCAGGTGATTAATTCAATATTACAGCTTATTAAACGACCACGTTGAGAGGCATCGCTGAGCTCAATGAGCTCTTTTCAGTCTGACTCGGGTTGAATTGCTCTCGGAGGTATTTCTCTTCATAACGCCTGCCCGTATCTTCTGTGAGTTGTGTTAATATTCAGGATGCAGGTGTGAGACGTTCTCTTGTTGGGCTGAGAGGAACAAAAAAATGTTGCTAAAGACCGCACGGCCTCCGTCACCCCAGCACGCCGCTGTTTGAGGAGTCAGTCGGCGTAGTCACGCTTCACACTTCACAGAGCAGCAGGATTAGCATTCACCTTTCAGCACAAGCTCTTATGCTAGCAGGAAACAGAGCCGTCATGGCGGAGTGGAGCTTACCGTTGTCACGTTTTGGGTGTAATTTAATGAAAATGGAGCCAAAATGGCTGAACTAGAGTAGTTATTGCAGCTCTGTGGGGAGGATGTGTAGGATACTGTCTAAATGTTTACTGGCTAAGAGGAGTCAAAATGGCAGATTAAAGGCACATGGCTATTCTTCGTATCTCTGTCCTGCTGTCATTCACAAAAATAGGACAGATGGTAATACCGTGATATTTGGATACATATACTATTGTACTGAATATGTTATAATTGAACATAATATTTCATGTAACTGAAATATTGGCCAATAATAGAATAAATGCACAATATAAATATTCTGGCCGATACAAAAAGCCAATAATTATTTTAATTGTACTTCTAATAACCAGTAAATGGCCTGAAAATCTATATTTTAAAAATATATATATAAAAAAAGCATTATTTTGTTTTGAATGGAAAGTGAATTTTTGTGATGCTTAAGTGAATACTGTATGAAGCATGTATAACTTATATATATATATACTGTGTGTATATATATATATATATACACTACCGTTCAAAAGTTTGGGGTCAGTGAGAATTTTATTTAAATTTTTTGGAGGAAAGAAATCAATACTTTTATTTATCAAGGAATAATTAATTTGATCGAAAGTGACAGTAAAGACATTTATAATGTTACAAAAGTCTTTTGAACTTCCTATTCATCAAAGAATCCAAAAAAAAAAAAAAAAAAATGTACAACTGACAGACCAACAACTGTTTCAACATTGATAATAATAATAAATGTTTCTTGAGCATCAAATCCTCATATTATACTGATTTGTGAAGGATCATTTGACACTGAAGACACTGACACTGGTGATGCTGAAAATTCAGCTTTGATCACAAGAATAAATTACACTTTACTATATATTCACACAGAAAACAGCTGATTTACACTGGAATAATATTTAATACTATAACTGATTTTTGTTGTATTTTTAATCAAATAAGCGCAGCCATAGTTAGCAGAAGAGAATTCTTTTAAAAGTATTTAAAATCGTACCGACCCCAAACTTTTGAACGGTAGTGTATATATATATATATATATATATATATATATATATATATATATATATATATATATATATATATATATCATTTTATTTTTTTCTAAATGACAGCAAAAAATGTAAAAATAGGTGAAAACTATTGATACTGGTAAAAAAAAAGGGAAGAATAAAAAATTGGCTGAATCGATATATCATCCAGATATATTGTGCATCACTTAGTAATATTATAGCATTTTTTTACTTTGTCATGATCTAGTCATCTAGTAATTGATAAAATCAAGTCCTGTCCTATATTATTTTCCACATTATGAAACTTAAATGCGTTGCGAATATTATTTTATGTCGTTTTAAATGTAGTTGCACCCTTTTTTGTGACTAAACAATGGTTATGTTTAATAAGGCTTGTGATTAATGTGAAGAATGCAGTACAAATGGATATGTGGGTACAGATAGATAGATTTATTATAATCATAGATATTTACATACATGCATGCATGCATCAGACACCCTGGGCAGCAGTGGATATGCGGTTAGCATTCAAACATGCTCAAACCAGCATGTAATTTAACTTTATGCACAGACGCACACACGCACAGACACTCCATCTTTACCCACAAACGTTTCACACTACCGCCATTCCCATTTGGCATCTATAATTCTTTTCTATGATGCCATATATTGTGCATTTTCTCAAAGACTCATAAATACAGCTCATTCCAAATGCATAGCCATCCCTCACATGCACACAAATAGTCTAGAAACGGATTGCCTCACACTGAGATAAAAAGAAACACACACACACACACACACCACATATATACGTATACACACATGCATAGACTTTAGGGCTCATTGTCTCAGTGTATATGTACGA